CCCTGTGCTCTAGAGCTGAGTAAAATATCCATGATGTTTTGGTTATGTCATTTATTAATGGTCTACACTGCACCTACTCCCAAAGAAGAACTTGAAGTTCCACAGGAGGTACAATCTTGTCTCGACAATGGTCATTTATCTTTATAGTAAATGTGAGAGAACGATCCCATCCCAGTGCTGTCTCCTCCCTGGGTAAGGGCAGTTGGAGCTGATGGTGGGAGCTAGGTAGACAGGCTGAAGCTTTTCGGGCTGAAGGTCCCGAGAGCTGCCACCCCCGCGGTGACTCTTGGTGCAGAAAGGCTGGCCCACGCGTCCCCTCAGCATTGATCCTGAGTCTGCCTCTTCAGCCTGCTCTCCCCCGCACCCTCGGTGTGGTGTGGAAGGGCTGCCCCCCGGGAACCTCAGGCTGGGCAGCACCAGGGCCAGGCTGCTATTGATTAAACTTGTAGGGGGCTTGTCGAAGGTGATGTCAGTGGAAGAGGGGACACTTGGCACTTTTGATAGTGTGAAAATGGGTTAATTATTCTCCAAAAGGGCTTCATTTAAAAGTAAAATTCTAACGTTTTAATTTCCCCTCCTAATGAAGCACTACAAATTTGTTAATTAGAGCAATTGTTTGAGTGACAGGCGTGTAACCAAGTTGTCATTTTCTCTTCACAGTTGACAGATCCTTTCAGACCTATGTTAAGGGTAAGAAAGCCTCTTCTAGCACTGTTTTGCAACCTCTGTTTGACTCCCTGTGGGTCGGAAACACAAGTCTGTAGCCAGCCTACTCAGCAGGCTGTGGCACGGTGGTTGGGTTTTCAGCTCCTGTGTGATGCAAGTGACCGAGTTGTTTTGCTTCGGGCAGTGGAGGAAGCCATGCCACGGGCTTCTTATTTATGTAACTGGTAGAGCTGAGTCCGATTCCAGTGTGAGCAGATCTGGTAGAAAGTCTGATTGGATCTCAGGGAGGAAGACTTGAGCGACAGGCTGCAGTCAGTGTCTTTCAGGAAACGCATACTTACCTGGATGGGTGTGCTCTGCTGTGGCTCCCTGGTTCAGCACGAGGTGCTATTGACTTTCATAGCCACTTGACCTGTTTCTGTGGTGTGGGAAAGGATACTGTGAGCATTGGTTGTTAACATCTTGTTTAAAGCAGAATGGCCTGAGGTCTGGTGCCTGGCCAGCAGATGGCCCCTCTGTGAATGCCAAGTTCCCCATGCCTGTCTGAGTGGTAGATAATGGGCAGTAGACTTCCTG